GTTAACCCTTATTACATTGTAACAGCTAAGACGAAGCGCCCATCGACCTGAGTGACTTTGAGTTGGCCACGCTCACCCAATCACATGACCACAGAGCCCCACCTACCCAGATGGTCATTAGGGCAGAGAACCGGTTGCTTAAATTATTTGAATCTCACCACGGATCACCATTCTTAGGATGCCACATGCTTTCTTTGCTTGGATAGCAGTACCAAGACATGTTCTGGATGCACAATAAGAATGAGCTAGGGAAGCTTCAATTTTTATTTCCCTGATGGCTTTGGGAGTATAGAGAGCGGCAGTTTCAATTTGTTGCCAAAAGAAATACGTACATATTGGTTGTCTACTCTGCTGCCCATTGTGAATGCAAACCACAAACCAAGTGCTTATTCCCACCAATATCTCTCCTGAATAAGAGGTTTCACGTGTCTAAAAGGGCTCTTTCTCCCTAATATCTGGTCCTTTTGGCAGCTGCAGTTTTGAATCCTCCTGTCCAGCCATAAGGTCTGAAATATTTGATGGAAGCTAAGGGAGAAATATGCCTCCGTAGCATAACCCAGGCTGACTTCGGTGGTTAGGCAAGAGGCACCCAAAGTTGATACAGGCTTCCAAAGGTATGAGAACTGCAGGCTTCCAGTAGAAAAGCCACATGGAAATTGCTCTTCTTGCTGATGCCGTTACTGTCGTTCCCAAACCGCAAGCTTTTAAATTGGTAAAAAAGTACAGGTCAATTTTCCCTTGTCCTTGAAATCTAATGGGGTGTTACGTAAATGTACCAGAAATATTATCCCAGATTACTGAATTCCACAAAACAATAATTTAATGTTTTTCATTTCCTCGTAAGGTCTTGCAGAATGAAAGACGTCAAACTGAGTTATTGAGCCTCCTGTAAAACTGCTCAGAAATTAGAATTAATGCTAATGAAATGTATTAAATAAATTGATCCCAAATGTTTCCGCAGCGCAAAAGAATGTTCTGCACACATTCCACGCTGAAGAAGCTGGGCTAGTTACAAGGTTTCAGAGCTATGGAATTTCTTAGGTGAGTGACCCATTCCTTTGAGGCAAGGTTTCCTAAGAACTGATCCCTTGATCTGGAAAAAGATAGAGAATGCACTGTAAACTGACCCAGTTGCTTATGTGAAAATTTACACCCTGATCTTCAGTGCCAGATCAATCTTCTGAGAAGAGCAGGGTATGTTCTTTGGAATGTTCACCATTATGCAGGATGGTAGATGGAGGAAATGTTACCAGGTCAATGTAGCGGGTTTCCCAAACTGTGAAGTACATCGTGGGAAGGTGCAGGCAGAGTATAGAGTAGTGGTTCCCAACGTGGGGGTGGGGGATTTGATTTTTAATGGGGGCAATTCGAACCTTGTTTAAACCAGGTTAATGGCCTTTTAGGCTTCCTCCGCGTGAGTAGAGTTCACTTTTTGAGGAAAGTAAGAATTGTATGTCACGGGGGAGCGGGGGGCATCAGGATTTTAGAGATGCTTAGGTAGGGCATGGCCAAAAAAAAGTTGGGAACCACTGGTCTAGAGGAATTGTACATTGTTACAATAAATGCGCCTTCCCCAAAGTTTCATTGTGTTGTTTTCATTATTCATTTGTGTGCGTTTCAGTATTTTTTATAAATATTTTTTTTNATCTATCTATCTATCTATCTATCTATCTATCTATCTATCTATCTATCTATCTATCTATCTATCTATCTATCTATCTATCTATCCATCTATCCATCTATCCATCTATCTATCATCTATCTATCTATATTTGCATCCTAAGAGATTAGAAGTAGTTCTATTGGAAAATAAGAAACAGGTTTGCTTGGCGTAAGCCAGAGCAAGTTCTTTGCAGATTGGAGGGAATTAAACAGTGAGGTTTGGGAAGTCTTTGGATCATAGTCATGTTTGTTCTCATTCTATTGAATATATTACGTTCTTGACATTTGTAGATTGTGCTATGACAATCTGCTGTTTTAAGGGTGTTGACGTGACAAGTTGCAGAATAGGCTACATGTGTGGATCAGGCCTGGCTGCAAAACATATGTCACGCATATTGGAATCCTATTTTCCTGTTCAAAGGTGTCAAGCTGGGCTTAATATTGAGGGCAATATTCCTGGAGATAAGGAATGCCGTGTTCCTTGCTCGAGGCCAAGTTCGTGGCTTGTGGAAATAGTGATAGCTAAATTTTATTATGGCTGATGGAATTCAGAGTTAAACACTAAGTACAAGAATGTTGCTTGATTTGTACCAGTTGCCACTAAAGAGCATTCTGAAAATGTAAACACGTCTTTTAGGAACAAATACGTGCCTGCCCTGGGTTTTATGCACAGCAACCAGCCCAGAGGCAATATCACACATCACCATGAGAATACAAACTGATAGTCTTGGCTCATAACACAGCAGATTTAAATATGGTTGAAAAGAGTAAGTGTAGATAATTTATGTGGCAATACCAGGCGTTAGCAAAATAGAAGACAAAGAACTGGAGAGGGTTATAAAGCGTCAATATTTTAAAATTGAAGTTGAAAGATTATGGCATAACCAACCATGATGGTTGCTGTGGTTATGGACACATTGGGTGCCATACCCAAAAATCTTGGACGGCACCTACATAATGTGCACATTGACAAAATTGCCACCTATGAATTATAAAAGGCCACATTACTCAAATCTGCACATATACTCTGCTGATACATTACAGCAGGTGTCTCAAACTCGATTTCATTGACGGCTGCATCAGGGTTGTGTTTGATCTCAGAGGGTTAGGGGGGGGCATGACCTGGGGAGCATGGCGGAGAGCATGGCCAACTTGTTGTCACCCATGCAGGCTCCATTTTCAGCCATGATAGCCTCCTGCAGTCATCCAGCAGTGAAAATGAAACCCGGGGGGGGGGTACATATGCAGCTCCCAGAGCTCCTTTTTCACTGATGGAGGGCTGCAGGAGGCCATCGCGGTTGAAAATTGAGCTCTATTTTTGCTGGCAGAGGCACCATGGGCCGATCCTTCGCTGCGTCCAGGGCAGCCCTACGGGCCAGATTTAAGTATCCCATGGGCTGAATCTGGCCCACGGGCCTTGAGTTTGACACCCCTGCATTACAGCATTTTACCATAGATTCTTGGGAAGAACTTAATGCCTATGGGTCGCGTCTGATTGGTTCCGGCGCGACCTGCAGTTGCCGGGCTGTCAAACATGCGGCTATTGGTCTCCCTGCTTGACAGCTCCGTATAAATAGCTGTCAGGCAGGGAGGGGGTGCCGGTCTACTTGTACATAGCTTGCGAATACCTGTTAATAAAGTTGGTTGTGTTTAACTTACTTCAGATGCCTCCAGCCTCGTTCTTCTAGGGAATTCAACAAAGACCAACAGCAGGTAAAGAACTGGCAGCTGTAATTTCACACTGTTGTTCTTCATATGGATGAGGGTGGATGAGGCTGAAACTGCCAATCACCATCAGTGGTGGGATTCAGCCAGTTCGCACCTATTCGGGAGAGCCGATTGGTAACTTTCTAAGTAGTTCAGAGAACCGGTTGTTGGAAGAAATCTCCTTTTGTTTTCCCCCCCACTTTACAGGACTAATCCTGTAAGGAAGGCAGGAAGGAAACATTCTGGTGTTGTTTCTAGCCTAATCTTTATTGCCCTGCTTACAGAAACTGCCTCTCCGGTTAACCNGGTAGGAACCCATCTCTGGGTCAGTAGCATACCTAAAAGAGTCCTAAAAGGACCAGGAATGGCATACTCCAAGCCCTAATGTACTAGATCACAGGTGTCAAACTTGTAGTATAACATTGCGGTCATGTGATGTTTCATTACATTTTCCCGGTTCGCACAACTGGGGTGGGCGTGGTCTGCATGTGATGCATCTGGGCCACGGGCCACCAATTTGACACCCCTGTATTAGATCATCTCCCAGCCCTGTCAATATAGTTTCTGTCCCATTCTTTGGTATGAAAGCTTAGGATGTTCTGCACTTAATATTAGTAAAGAAATGCCACAAATTTAGACCACCATCATGAAGACCTTATATGTCTGTCCTTAAACTATTGAATTTGAACTAACAACTCAGCAGGGCTTAATTCTAAGACGACCAAATTAAATGGTTAGAGTCTCCTTTATGTGACATTCATGTGCACCATACTCACCTATAAGAGCAGATGAAAAGCACTGTTCTTTCTCCAGTTAATGATGTGTGAATGGCCAGAGATATACAACATGCTTAACTAAATCTAATCAAATCTATGGTTTATCTAATTGTACCGTATGAAATAAGCCATAGTTTGGATATCTGGGTTGGACTCCTATTACGTTAACTGCCACAAAACAAATATATTTTCGATAATAAAGATGTTTTAGATCTGTCATGAGACAGACACAGGGATAGAAAACCATTCACAGAATGTCCTTAGTTAAAGAACTTTAAAGGTAGCTCAAATCAGTGTTAACAATGGGAAATATTTGTTAAACCCAAGAGTCATTTCTCAGTTGGGTAAGAGAAAATTTCTAACTGCAACCAGTTCTACAAACTTTAGTCAGGTCAACATAAAACATCGGCAGGTAGCACTGAGGTTCTGATGTATTTTGTACTCTTTTAATGATTAAAACCTTGTCACAGAATAACTATATTTTTGTTAAATTTATATCCTAAGAATAGTTTTCTTTCAATTTCATCCCTACATTTCTTATTCTTTCAAGCATTGTTCATGTGTTATAATTACTTCTAGTTTTCTTTTACTTGTGTTTAAGCTATGTTTCTCAGAGGTTTGGGGTGGCTTTTTCCAAATGTCAGATGCTGATGGAACTCAGTAGCAATACCACAGTGGTGGGTTTTAAAAATTGTTCGAACCTACTCTGTGGGTGTGGCCTCCTTTGTGGGAGTGGCTTGCTGCCCATGTGACCGGATGGGAGTGNGCCTATACCCACGATGGGTGAAGAGGCGTCAAGTACAAGTACAAGTACATGTGATCTTGATGCTATCCAATGTGGTTTAGTCACCGGGACCAAACGTTTAGTGTTCCAAGCTTTCAGACTAATGCTGGAGCCCATATTCAGGGAACGTCTCTCTAGCGGAGTTTGTGTAATCCTATCCCTGTTAATGCAACCAAGGACTACTACTGTTGGCTTTTTGGGGCAGCTGCAGTACACTGGTGGCTCATATTTAAGTGTCCACAAGATCCTTCTTGCACTTGCTACTATTAAGCCAGATGCCATCTACCCTATACCTATGCATTTGGTTTTTCTTGCTTAAATGTAGAACCTCATTTTCTCCCTCAAAACAGCTACTTTCTCCACATGCTTTCAAAGATAAAACATGCCTCTGGCATATAAAAGTTAAGGACCCTGCTGTAACCCAGGTTTCTTGAATGAGAATTGTTTGTTGCTGTTAATTCTGTGTCTTTTTGATGGCTTTATTTATAACCATTTGTTTAGTGACCATTCAATGTTAAGTGAAACAATACTGAAAAAATGACATGTGACCATTTCCCACACTTATGGCAGTTATAGCATCCCCATGGTCACATGATCAAAATTAGGATGCTCGGCAACTGGTTCATATTTATGGCAGTTGCTGTGTTCTGGGAGTCATGTAAATCACTTTTTGTGACCTTCTGACAAGCAAGGTCAGTGGGAAAGCCATATTCATTTAACAACTTTGTTGTTAAGGTAACTGTATTAATTCACTTAACCGTGGCAAGAAAAATAATAAAAATGGGGCAAAACCTAGCAATGGAATTTTTTGGTTCAATTGTAATCATAAGTCAAGTACTTCCTGTAGTTTATCTGGGCTGATCTCTGAAGCTAAACAAGATCATATCTAGTTAGTTCTTAGATAATGGGGTAGTATGGCTGTTCAAGTTCTGTTGGCTATACTGGAAAACCCGAAGAACATTCTGGATGGGAATGGTGACAAAATACATCCGTAATGGCATAGCTGCAGTTGTCAGAACTCAACTCCAGTTCGAAAGTGTCTTAACTGGTACATATCCAAAAGTATGAAAATGTGTTTCCTTGTGAAAATGACAGTTTTACTTGTCTTTCTGTTTTATGAGCATTTTATACCTTTTAAATATTATTCAAAGACAGCTCAGCTGTAATTTTGTGGTCTCATGGCAGATTTTTTTTCCACTTCTCTGCTCCATACCTTTTACAGGCTGTCTTTGGAAAAAAGTAGACTGCAGAAATAAAAAATAATAATTTCCAGTGCTTTCTATAAATCTGCATGAGAACTTCCTGCTCCAGATCCTTATGTACTAATTCAGAAAATATTAAAGGCTTAAGTGTTTTATTC